TAATACGAGAATAATGCATTCTAAGTAATTTTCGACGTAATGCACAGCAGTAACCGAAAAAGTAAGTACATACGCCAATTAATATATATACTTAGTTTAAAATCTAACGTACTCACTGTATTAGTGATATCGTAAACAATAAATACACCGCTTGCTCCTCGATAGTATGCCGAAGAGATTGTTCTGAATCGCTCCTGGCCAGCCGTGTCCCATATGTGTAATTTTATAACATTTCCGTCAAACTGGATAGTTCTGACTTTCTACACTAAAAAAGATAGTTTGACTTACGAAATCCACTCCGATTGTGGTAATGAAATTATCCGTAAAGCAATCATTCTATCGAATAAATAGAAAACAAGACTTATACCTACGGCAAATCGAAGCAACAAGCATGATTTACCAACTCCTGAGTCTCCAACAATGAGAAATTTAAAGATATAATCACTGATATAAGACTTAAAAGTCAGCAACTCACTGCTCAAGCATCTTGGCCTCTAAACCCGATCATAAAGCCCGGGAGCGATAGGATGATATAAGAAATGATGAAAACATATATTCATTTCAACATTAGAGGTTTATGCTTCACTTATTTGAATAGTAATATACTTCTAATTTTTATGTTGATAAAATAGCTTTCATGGTGATAGACATGCAGATATTTTGTTTTCTATTTGTCAATAATTTATAGATTGTATAATCCCAGAGCTTACCTCCATGTACGAGACGGAGTTCAATTCTGAGATCGGCTAAACGGATATAGTCTATCTCTCATGATAACTACTATTTGCAACGAGTACATACAGAGAGTGTCTTGTTTTTTGAGAACAGAAAAAAAAGGAAATTAGCCTGAAAATTATCCGAAATTGTTTTGAACTATCGTCCATCTCGTCAATACTCTAAAGTTTCATAATGATAAAGCCAATCTATATTGACTTCTTATTTTGTTCTTAATGGCCATGGTCCGTTTTTAATAGCTCCTACTTAACAAAAATATTTTTCTATTTGAATAGAGTTTCGAGACTACCAGTAAATCAGTGATATGAGAGGTATTCACCCTATTTTGTTTAAGGTGATGAAGGACTGGTAGAAGAATTTTACCACAATGATATGAGTAGAGCTGACGCTTCCATTGAATTTCACATTGTCTTGCTTTCCCAAAAGTTGTTCTCATCCAGGGTGAACTGCAGTTTCGACCTCGCATCGGTCTTATCAACA